TATCTACCTTTTAACTGTAATTAAATCTAATATTCAGTTTCCAATTTCTTTAGTTTCAAAGAATTTTTGGTTGATGAATTCAATTCTTATGTGGCATGGCCTGTTTTCTCTGAAACAATTGATGTGTTGGATATCATGTCCCCTTGTCTTTAATCCTTAGTTTCACCTTTATGTTCATAAACTTTTGATGTGTATTCGTCAAAGTTCTATATGATATCGGTGGAATATGCTTTACGGTATTTTAAGGTGATGTAATAGAGCTGTATAATCACCCTGCTTTGGAGACATTGCAGAAGTAGACATCCTGTTCTTTTCCTGAGTATGATCATTAGTGTTTTATCTTTTGATTTGTTGAATTTTTTCCCACGTGATAAGCAAGTTTCCCCTTCTCTTTGTCAAGAATAACCAAAAATATCCTCCTTGATTTTTGGTGAATGGAACTGAAACACTTGAGCTATCAAATTGATGTATTCTATATTGATATATATGACATGTTGCTCCTCTTACTCTGAAGGTTGTTGATTGTCGTATTTGTGGCGATGCAAACTCCCATCTTCACTTTGCTTTTGTAGAATTTTCGGACGAGTGTAAGTTAGATTTCTTTTTCCTTTTTTCTTTCTGCCAATGCTTAGTGCTTAATGCTTGTCTGATGTCTGAAACCTGACTGTTCCATGGGGAACTAAAATCAACAGATTCTGCTCAAGCGTCTCTTAACCTTTGTGGGACACTGTTGGGTTTCTCTCCTGTTAAGGTTCTACCTTCTAAAACTGCCATCCTTCCTGTGAATCCTACATTTCTTCCCAGGGTACGAACAAATCTCCAGCACTGCTAATATACTTGAAATACTTGCTTAACTTGCTTTTGTCTCCACTTATTTTTTCCCATCTAGTATCTCATTTCTCTATTATATCCATTTTTTTCATTATATATGCCGAATTTTTACAAATAGTCAGAAGACGAACGGGGGATGTGTGCCAGGACAATCTACTGTACCAATATTGATAAGAGGGTATGCACACCTCATCTGTTTTTGGTTTAATATGATAAAAGTTTTTGTTTGTCCTTCTCTACTCATACTTGCTTTTTAATCTGATGAATAATCCACTGGAAAATGCCTTCTTTTACTCATAAGTTAGAAAATAAATGACTAAATATGTTCACGTGATGTATTTTGTCATGAGCAGGTTTCTCAGGCTGACGTTAAGAATTTCTTTGAAACAAGATGTGGTGAGGTGTGCCTAAAATTTCAAACATTGGGTGGATTTGGTTATAGTTGGCTTGGAAGTGTTTAGTGACCAATAGATCTCGGAATTGTAGGTTTCCCGCCTGATGCTCCTAGGGGATCACATGCATTCTACTCGGATTGCTTTTGTTGAATTTTCCATGGTATGCTATTTTTACTGAAATTGCTACTGCACGACTGCTATTGCATTTCTAAACGTGTAAGTATATGCGGGTAGAAAAACTAACTGGATGTCAGTAACATTAGTTTTCTCTAACAAGCATTCTTTAGATCAGGTGGGGGCTTGGTCATCCTGTGGCTGGAACATCTGGAACCACAAAATCCATAAACTTGGATATTTTCTTTGGCATGTCAACGGAAACAAAGATCTTCTAGAACAAACATTTGAATATGAAGTCTAAGAACATATGGAGTAAAAGGTGGCTTCTTAAGACTGCCCTGAATTTCCCTGTTGCTTACCAATTAGCCTTATTGACATGGGTATGGGTTTCTATATGAGCTGATAGAATTCATTGGCTGCGTCAATCAAATGAAAAGATTCATTTAGGAGGACTAATAGTTGTCGTTTTTTACCTCATTCACAAATATTACAAGACTGTTATTATCTTTTCCAGACCTTTGAAGGCCGAGAGGGCGATAAGATTCTCTACTCGATCAATATGTGATTGTAATATGGCTTGCACACACGCACTTTAACCTCTCTTTTTAGTTGCGCTTCTGCAAAGTTATTGGAAAAGGAGACAAAATGACATGAGGGAAGGGATCATTAATTTCATATGAATTTAAGATAGACTGGAGAATGGGATAAAAAAGCACAGTTCTCCTTTGTTAGCATTCATTAGAATAAATAACTGACTTGATAATTTTTTATGTAACGTTGAGCTGTTCCGACTGTGGGACGTACATGGTTGATTATACAGGTGCAGCTTACACAATTTTATACCAGAAGCTTTCTTTCAAATAAAAAAGTCATGCTAAAAAAAGTTAGCTGGGAATATATTACATCTTATCCCTTAATTTGAACCAGAGAAGTTTTGAATTTGTCAGATTTCAACATATATGTAAGTGTGCATCGTGAAAATGAAGTCCATTCAAAGTGGATTAAGTTATTATACTTATTTTACATGCATTCAATTTGAAAAAAAAATTAAGAAAGCTATTACTTTCACAGGCTGAGAGTGCAATCCTCGCCCTTGATTGTTGTGGCAAAATTTTGGGATCCCAACACATCAGGTACAAGTTATTGGTTGCCGCTAAATCTTTGTCAAGTCGATAGATTTTCTTTTACTTTAACAGGTTTAAAAATATTGTAGGGTAAGCCCTTCAAAGACACCTGTGAGACCACGAGTTCCATCCCCGGAAATGCAGTAAGCAGATCATTTGAGTCCAGAATCTTGAAGAACGTTGGTGTTGGTCTGAGACTTTCTTCTAGTTGAAGAGGTGGTGAAATTGCCCCTGTTTCATTTTTTCCTATTCCTGGCAACACTTACTTTTCTATTGACTGATACAACCTCTGACCTTCAACTGATCAAGTTTACTGGGATGGTTCCATTCTTTGGTACTTTTAACTATGATTAATCATATAAAGCTAGCTCGGTGTTGTACCGGTGGCTGTGAGTTGAAGGTTTTCCCACTGCACCATTTGATAATTAATCAGTAGCGTAATATCGTCTTACTTTCGTCTTTATACCGTATAGGAATTTATATGAGTATATGTTGGTCTAGGTTTATGGCCTTTAGTTTCAAGGATAGATTGAAGAATGAGCACGAGTAGGATAGTGGTAGTGAAAAAATTAAAAACAGAGTCTGCCAAGGCAAGTATGGTGTTTGGAGGGATAAATTATACATATTTTGCATCGACCTAAAGAGGTTGTTGCAATTTAGGACGGGACGAGAAGGACCACTCCACCTTGTTATTCCTCTGCCATTTCTGATTGCTAATTCCTCATGCTCGACTGCAACCGTCAAGCCCATCTTTGTTATGGCAGAAATCTTAGAGCGAAACACTTTAAAAAGTTGGACCTAGTACCTTGCCCGGTCCAAGACGGAGCTTAATATTAACCAGAAATTTTCTTTGATTTTTTCTTGCTACAAATGGGACATTAGTCAGCTGCATGTTCCCCAAGGAGCTTTTGCTGACCATCGTGCGAACAAGATTTGTCGTATGTTTGACCATTCAATTTTGTCTTCTCTTAATCTTAAAAGTAAAAATGATAAATTTTTACCCACATGTTTCAATTGTTTGACTAAAACGTGTTTGGTTATATTTTGGATAAACTCATTTCCCCTATTAAATATAAGAAATTTACTTAGGGTTTGTTTGGGAGTGATTTTAAGAATTAATTTTTTGACTTTTAGGAGAAAAGTGGGGTCCATTCGTCAGAAAAGAAGTCAAATATGACGGCTCAATTAGTAAAATAACTGTCAAAAAATCAATTTTTTGGGAAAATCACTTCTAGACAAACTCTTATTTTACTTGTATTTCAATTTACACATAACTAAGTCTTTTTATTTACTCTTTTTCATTTGGTCAAAAACACACACACCAGTTATAATATAATTCCTCGAGGAACGTTAATAATTTCAAGAAAAAAAAAAGTATAAAAAATATAACTTCAATTTTTTATTTTTTTTAAAAAATACTTGTTGACTTTGATTCACAATATTTGGTCTAATTTTCAATTCATAAAAAAGTGGCGTAGTCGCAATTGTCCGTATAACGTTAAAATCTGTGCACGCCACGAGGGAGAAAACTCAGGAAAACAGTGAAAAAAAGTGCGTTAACAAAATATATGGGACCCACTTGTAAATATTCGAATCAGGGTGGACCCAGATTGAATTGCGTGGTTGAAATTCCCTGCGAGTGTAAGTAATGATTTGGCTGTATTATAATGGAAACATGACTCTTTTTTTTAATATAATTTTTATAAATAATTTTAAGATGAAATTTACTTAATTTTAAATTAAGTGTAATATTATCATCAAAATAAATTGCTAAGAAAGTTGGGGGATGCTTCCATCGAAAAATTCCGAGACGATTGTCAAAATCAATGCTAAATAGGTCGATTTAAATAAATGTGATGTACTTCGCGTAATACACGAACTAAAAATGTTTGTCGCTTTGCGCTCGGTACGGGAATGAATTAGTCCATAATCTCGCGTCTTTAACTACTACTTTGACTTTCAATGTATTCCTTTGGACTGATTGTATTTTCTTTTCTATTTCGCTTGTGTTTTTGGGGGGTGATCTTGCTTAATGAGAGAATATTCATATTTATGAAAAAAATACTTGCTTTTAATTCATTGTTGAAATTTTTTATATTTGATTTATATGTATAAGCAAACTTTTTAAGCTCCAGGAAACATGCTTTGAGAACAAATGTGACGATATTTCATTAACGTGGATTGTATTTGTGCCATAAGTTATTACTTTGAGAACAAATGTGACGATATCCTACAATAGAATTTAATGAAATGTAAAATCGAGTACTCTAAGTCGCGTTCCAAATCCTCGATATTCTTTATGAATCAACGAGTGTTTGCTGTTATCTTCTAGCTTCACGGGGTGAATCAACATAAAGAAAAATAGTTTTCGTAATTTCCATGTTCTCGTATTACTCTACACCATATTCACTTTTAAAAACCTTTATGTTGTGCATAAATTTTTGTATGAAAATATATAGAAAAAATCAAATGTTTAATATTATTTCAAGATATTTTTATAAGTACTGGTCATTCTTTCCTTTTCTCATGAACATTGAACCAATTAAAGAATTTTACAAATTAATCCAATGACTCTTAGTTCATGACAAAGATAAAGATAATGATTTTGCTTACTATTACTAGTTCTTAATATATTTGATGAATGAGATTTTACACTATTGAATAAGATACGAAATAAATAAATAAATTATCGATTTTTTAACATGTCATTTATATTTTGTAGCGTTTTAAATTAGAACATTATTCAAAAAAGTAAATAAGCGAATCAATTGATTATGGAGTTATTTTAATACGATCTAACATATAATTTTTACGCATAATCGGACCAAAATTTAGACCTATTTGTTATTTTGCTTATTTTATCAATACAGTACAGTTCTTGTTAGGTTGACCTATTGATCCAACAAAATTGGTACCAAGCATCAACTTGCTAAAATAAAAACTAATTTCAAGTAGAAAGTTTCTAAGAATATTTCAAGGCATCCAAGTAGAGCTCTACGACCAAAAAAAAAAAATAATAATAATAAAATAAAATTGAGGGCGTTGTCATTGTCTTGCATTCATATTATAATAATTATTTTCTTTCTAGAAAGTACTAGGTTTTATTACATTTTTCCTGCACCAACATCCTAAAAAAATAACTAGTTCACGTATGATTACTGATTTATTTTAGGTATTAGAAGCAAAAATACAATTATGAACGTGTCACATTCGCAATTGAACATTTATTAGAATTTCTAGTAATATGAAAATGTAAGTATTTATCAATTATCATTATAAAAAAACTGAAATTTAATTTTATTTATGAAAAAACACAAGTTTTTACATTTTTCTCAAACAAATGTCGAAATAATCATAAAATCAAGTCTTCCTCTAAGGTTCAACGAGCAAGATTTTTCCCAATTGTGTGCTTTGACTGGGTCAACGGTCCTTCTAGACTGCCTAGATCCCAGTAGTCAACTTTTATCATTCCTAACCATTATAAATAGTTCGAGTCCATCAGTTCAACTCAATAGTCAGTAAGAATATTCCGCCGTTATCTGCCACCGTGATAAGAAACGTCCGCCGTGGTTTTTTATGCATTTTCGGAACTCAATGTCTGGATCCAATAAGAAGACCGTGAAGGTGGTGCTAATCAACACCGAATACGTGGAAACAGATGCAATGAACTTCAAATCTGTTGTTCAGAAACTCACCGGAAAAGATTCAGTAGTGGCGGCGCAGTCATCTTCCGCCACCAAACAGCAGCCAAGAAGAGAAATGTCAACCGCTGCTCCGCCAGTTTTTTCACGTGGAATGTCGTTTAAGGATTTTGACTGGATGCTTAAGGAGATGCCACCACTTGATGAACTTTACGGGCTTTGTTCGGAATAACTAAACCCTGTATGTGTATATATATATATATATATATATATATATATATATATATTTATTATTATTATTATTATTTATTTATTTATTTATTTTTAATTCTTTCTCACTATTGGATTGGATGTAATTAAAATTGCTTTATAAATTTCGAATTATTTGAAAATAAGCTAATTTGCTCCAACTTCGAAAAGTAGCTGCACACACTTATGTCCATTCTTATGATCAACAATTGCTTATGTCTTCACCAATTGCTTTCGAGATTAAGTTTCACATAATCGTGTTCTAAGATTGATCTTTCTCCGATGAAAATACAATTTTGCTTGATCATGTTAATAAAAAAGAGAGTGCCTCAAATCGATTAATTGATAGCAATACACTTTTTTTTTTCCTTTTCTTTTTTTTTTTGGAAAAAAAGCCATCCAATTTAAGATGAGAATTTTTAGGCTTCCTAACCTTAAATTGGAAAAGGACAATTCAATACCAAGGATGTCGTTCAATGGGAAGGAGGATGAAGTTCAGAAACAATATGCTGCCTCGTGCAACTTGAAGTTCATTTGAGAATTTATTTTCTTGAGAACGTGTGCGTGATTAGCTATGATTTCTATTGAAAAAAAATATGTTGGAAAATTTTGATTTTAGTAGTTTGATTACTAATTTTACATCTCAAAATGTGAGAAGGTTAAATCTTATGCTTGAGTGAGAGAAATTTTATTTTGGTATTTTTCTTTTGAATTGTATAAAGTTTTCGTTGGGCCCCATAATAATTAAATGCCTGGTGCCTCTAAATTTTCAGGACCGGTCCTGTGGAGGTTGTAATAAAGGTGGGTAAGAGAAGAGAGGTGAATTGAATAGCTTGGTAACTTTTCAATATAAGAGTTGGCTGAATGCTCTGTTTACCTTTTAAGTGAAATGATTAAAGTGGCTTATGCTTGTTTTCTTTCATCCTCACCACCTAGTTTATAGTCAAAACTGGAACATAAAAAGTTATTGCATTCTTTTTATTTATGCTTGATCTTGGGTCTTAGGTATTGGTCGAACATGATAAAGAAAGTTTAATGGTCAAATAAATCCCAAGCGAAAGCCTTCTATTTGCAAAATTGCTGGAGTCATATAGATTGATCGGGCACCCTTCTATCTAGTATCATATACTATGGAGTCACATTGCTAGAGACATTACACAAAAATCAGATGCTAGCCAGCACCGGTGGGTGCCAAGGATAGTACTTAGGGCTTGTTCGATAATAATTATGAGAATTAATGTTTTGACCGTTAGATACAAAAGTAGGTCCTACCTATGAGAGAAAA